TCATGGGGTCCGGGGCTCCGGCCGCGGTTCCTTGCGCAGCCCAGCCACCTTTAGGGGGGCTCCAAGAAGCAAGAGTCCGACGGAGCACTCGTCACCCGAAAAAGGTAATGGGGGGCTCGACGCTCGAGTCCGTAAGACCTCACGAGCGTAACCTGGCTCGCCCGTGTCTAGGCTGTCTACTCGCGGACCGCATGAATGCGCGCCTTTGCGGGACAATTGAATCAACACTTGCTGGCATGCAGGCAAAGCTTCAGCGCTGTACATGACAACGATCGGTTCGCACGGGCAGGAGGGGGATGTTGTATTGCTTTGGCAACGTCGGGCCCCGATATCCCTGGGCCGCTGCAGCGCGGCTTTAAGGTGTTCCTCGCCGGGCAGAAGGCGGCGGCCGGAGAACCGCGGCGCAAGGCGCACCGTCGAGGCGCGGAGGCGACCTGGGGGGGAATGCCGCCGACGAGGCGCCCTCCCCAGACCCCCTTTGCGTTGCGAAACAAATCACGACGGGAGGTTTTGCAGTATTTTCGGCTTTTGGGGGCCCGCGCAGGGCCTCGGGACCGTCCAAAAACGACTCGGGATGAAAAGCCGGTCCAGGGGAATGGGTCCGAACTTTTTCGGGGGGTCGCGTCATGAAAAAATCATGACGTCGGAGGCTTGGGTCCAGGGTCGCATCTGATCGCGCCCTCGGTCAAGGAGCACTCCGCCCATGTCGCCCGCATCGTGCAGGCGCGCGCGGAGCCCAGGTAGACGAGAAAGGCAGACGACGCGGCCGCCGCCCCCAAGGTCAGCGCGAGCCACGGAGGCGAGGACGACGGCGAGGCCGATGGACAGATCGAGGCCGCTGCCCTGCGTGCGCAGGCTCACTTGGCATCGCTGAGCGCGGACGCCCGCGTCGCCCATCATTTCGGCTTCGGTTTGCCGCGGAAAATACCATTTTGCCGCGACCGAGCGGACTCAGGCTTTGTAGTGAGGGACCCATGAAGACGCCGATCATAGAGAGCGGAGGCCTGTCTCCGCCTCAGGGCCGCCGAGAGAGATGGCGCCGCCCAGCGGGCGACGCACATCAGCAAGAACGCCCAGGCGCGCTAAGAGGCCCTATCCGACCTAGGCACAGAGACGCCGAAGGAGCTGGTGCAGGCGCGGCGGAAACTCTGAACGTCCAAGGGCTCCTGGGCGCAGCTCGGGCCAGATTGCCCGATTGCTGTGGCCCCTCAGACCCACAGGAGCAAAGCAAACGAGCATGCTCTGCGGCGCCGCTCCGAGCCGCAAGCGTTTTTTCGCGCCCGACGCCGCCCGAGCGACTGCGCGGCCCATCTCGCGAAGAGGTTCGAGGGCGGGCCCGCGGGCCCCGCCGCGGGAACGAGCGCCCCGCACTCCGAAGTGGGACCAGGCCCTGTTCGCGGCAATGTTCGCGGACACCCGCAACGCCGCGCGGGGGGGGGGGGCGAGCGGGGGGAGGTCCCGCTGGAGCGCCGCCGAACCTTTTTTCGGGTGTTGTTCATGGGCCAGTGGAGCTTCGGCAAGACGACGATCGTTTTGGAGACCGCGCTGCCCGTTATGGACTTTCTGTCCGGGGCCTCCTCCGCGCTGGTCGCCCGAGCCGCGTGGCCCCAGATAGAGGACATCTCCGCTGGGACCTGCGCGGCGATCACGTGCCACAGGGCGGCGGAGATAGGCTTCGCGGGGCGCCAGAACAAAGAGATGATGCCCGACGCCGATGCTCGCGCTCGTCTCGAAAACACCAGGCGTGGCCCGAGACTGGTCACGATCGGGGGGGCGGGCGCATTGTTGCCGAGCCTCTACAACGCGCGCCTGCGCCGCGCCTTCCAAGCCAGGCGCGGGCAGCGCAATCGCTGCAGGAGGCGACTTGCCAGGAGGCCTTCTGCGCTGTCGGCCGCCCCCCCCCATCGTTGTCTAGCTGAGAGATGTCCTGCAGCTGAAAACAAATGGGTCTTGGAGATCGCGTCTGTCGAATTGCGGCAGATGGCCGCCGCCGATGGCCGAGGGGAAGGGGCGTCCGTCGAGCGCCGGCAGGTCGCGAAGTCCTTTGCGACACGCCGCTGCGCTTCGAGCCACAGGCCGCCCGCCGCTTCGAGGGCCCGCGCCTGGGAGAGTCCATGAACTTCATGCGCGAGCCAAAAGAAAAACAAGGTGCTCGCGCGGAGACGCGTTCGGCCGACAGAGAAAGGTTCGAGGCTCGCCGAGGAGCAGTTCCAAACGGGGCGCATGCACGAGCGGTGCCGAGACACAACGGCACGCTGGACGATGACTCGCGCGGGGAAGGGCGCGCGGACTCTGAGGCAGGTCTCCTGCAGGGCGCCGGCGCGCCTTCGCCCCTGCTGCCCGTGGACCCGGCCGCGAAGCTGTTGAATCAGGTCAGCTCGGGCGCCGCCGTCGGCGCGCGCGGGATGGCGCCGCTGCGCTGGGGCGCGCGAATCCGCGTGCCCGGACTCCTGGTCCTGAAGTAGAAGCCTTCGGAAGCTGGCGCGCGATGCCGAGGGGGAGATCGCGCGCGCGGCCATCGGCCATCGCGACGAAGCGGAAGTGGAGCGCGCGCACGCCGTGAACCACCCCCGCGCACTCGCGTTTCCTGCCCTCTGGCGCGTCGGTCCGCGCGGACAAGTGCCGCGCCGCCCTTTCGTGCGAGCGGCTGGCAGAGCGCGCGGGAGGGGTCGTCATCTCGGGCGCGGCGCAGCTGGCCTTCGTCGAGCCGCAGACGACGAGCCCTTCTGATTCCCGCAAACGCAGAGTCATGCGCGCGAGCCGGCAGACCCCCCGCGCCCAGGTGTTGACGTCGACGGCGCGCCAAGGCTGGGCCATGCACCAGGGCGTCATTGTCGACGCCGGGCACAGGGACGTCGACGATTTGGACGGCCCCTGGCTCCACCCGCGCGTCTTGATCTCCCGGGCGACGACGTTTGACGACCTGCTCGTGGCGCGCGACCCAGCGCTCGATTTTCGGCCCAGGGGGCCGCCGGCAGACCTGGCCGCGCGCGCCCGCGCAAAGCCCCGCAGGATGGCGGCGGATGAGGTTGGCGCGCGAACTTGGGGCTGAATGGGTTCCTGCGCGGCCGACGGAGACGCTTGCCAGAGATGTCGGGCGAGTTCGCCGCAGATGTCGTCGATGCCTCGGCGGCGCTGGCGGCGCCGCCTGCGGCTGACGGCGACCAGTCGCGTCCAGCGCGTCAAAATGTCCTTCCGCGATCGGCGCTGCCCCGCGGCGCAGCGCCTGGCGCTGTCGCGTCGCAGCTCGCAGGGAGCCGCGGCGCCACGCAGCGCTTGGCGCTGTCTTTTGTCCGCGCCTCCCTTTCGCGCACTGCGCCTCGCCTGCCGCGCGCCCCCTGCGCGTGCAGCGCGCTGTTTTGCTATTGCGCATGGCGCTGCTCTGTCCCGTGGAGATGCGCGCGGCGCCAGCGTTGTCGGGTTCGTCCTCCGCCGCCGCTTCTGTCTCGGCCCCTTTCTTCTGGCTTCTGGGCGTTTCTGGTTGCACTCGCCGCCGTTGCGTTCGCTGCGTTCGCCCTTACTTCTGGGTGCTCATCGTTGCTGCCGCTGCCGCGCCCTATCGTTTCCCAGTCAGGGAGAACTTCGGGTTATCCTCGTGGCCGCGCCCTTCCATTTGCATTTGTTTGGCTTCGACGTCGCTCTCGCTGCCTCGCCCTTCTGTTATAATGTGCGAGCGATTATTCCACCGCGCCCTCTTGCGCCCGCTTCCGGGCGTTTCTGCATGCTCTCGCTGCCGCGCTTTTTTATTTCCACTCGTGGATGAATATACTCACTTTTGCAGCCGCGCCCTTGCGTTTCCACTTTTAGGTGTTTCTCGTCGCCCTCTTTGCTGCGCCTTTGTGTTTCAATTCCTGGCCGCATCTCGTACAGCGCCGTTTTCATTCCATGTCTGAGTGTGTCTAGCTGCTCTCGTTGCCTCCCCCTGTCGTTTCCGCATTCGGACAGTAGTCGTGCCGCGCCGTTCTTGTTCTACTTACTGGTGCTTCTCATTGCGTTCGCTGCCGCGCCCTTTGCCTGCCGCGTCTGGTCGGTTCTCGTACCGCGCCCTTTTGCTTCCACTTGTGGGTGCAACCCGTTGTTCTCGCTGCCGTGTCCAGTTGTTTTCATTGTTTGGTGTGTTTTGTTTGCGGTGTCCTCTTGCTCCACTTGTTGAATGTTTATGTTCGTTATTGTTGCCGCGCCTTTTGTTTCCACTGATGAGTATTCATCTGTGCGCTTGCTGCTGCACCATTGTGTCTCAATTGATGGTTGCTGAAAATGTGCTTCGCTGCCGCGCCGTTATGTTTCCACTTGTTGGGGGTTATGGTTGCTTTTGCTGCCGCGCCCTTTTGTTTCCACGTTTGGGGGCTTCTCGTCCACTTTTGGCTGTTTTTCGTTGCTCTCGTTGCTGCGCGGTGTTGTTTCCATGTTTGGATGTGTATCGTTACTCTCGTTGCCTCACCCGTTTGTTTCAAGTTTTGGGTTCGTTTCCTACGGCGCCGTTTTGTTTGCACTGCTGGGTGCGTCTGATTCATCGCGTTGCCTTGCTCTGTTGTTGCAATGTGTGGTTGTTCGGTGTTTCTCGTTGCTCTCGCGGCCGCGCCCTTTTGCTTCTAATTTCTGCTGGGTGTTCGTCATGCACCGTTTCCCCACTGTTGGATGTTTGTTGTTACCCTCGTTGCCGCGCTCCCCTGATGTCGCCTGTGGTTTCTCCTGCGCGCTGCGGCTCCTTCAGGATGCTCGGTTGCATTCGGCGGTCCCGGGTGTAGGCGCCACCTGTTTAGGAACCGTTGGGCCCGTCCCTGGGCAGACCGCGCCAGGCATGACGACGATTCGGGGGTCCACACGCCGTAGGTCGCCGCCCCTCGCGGGTCCACACGATTCAGACGTCGACGTCGACGACGACGACGACGACGACGACGACGACGACGACGGCGACGGCGACGACGACGACGACAAGGAGGCTGCGAGGCTACGAGGCTACGAGCACGAGCGCAGAGGGGAGCACAGGGGAAGGGGAGGTGCTGGCCACGGAGACCATGCTGGACGTGCCCATCTTCCGGCTGGACTGGGACGCGCCCTCGGCAGGCCCAGGATCCGGCGATCGCGCCTTCCGGGATGCCCGGCGCCCTCGCGCCCAGAGGGAGGAGGAGGAGGAGGAGGAGGAGGAGGAGGAGGAGGAAGAGGAGGAGCAGGCTTTCCCAGATTTTGGCGAACTGTGTTTCAAATTCGTGAGTGTGTGTGTGTGTGCTTCTTACACGTCGGCCTCCAGGAGCCTTCCTGAGAGCCCCCCCGGGGTCATCAGAAGTCTGCTCACCACCCTGGGAAGAGGTTGGGGGCTCTGGGGCCCAAGCGAGCTGAAGCAAAAACGATCCGCGGGAGGTCCCAGGTCAAAGGGGGAAGATGAAGGGGGGAAGAGGAGTCCTGGCTTTCGGATACTTTCGGAGGCTTTCGGATGTTTTTCGATGCTCAGCTCTGAGGTTCTTCCAGGGGCTCCGTGTCGCCATCATCCCTCCCCCTTCCCCGCTACCCTACCATCTTCCTGCCCCCCCAAAGTCTTATCGTCCTTATCCTCGTCCTCATCGTCCCCTCGTCCTCCGTATCATCCTCCTCGCCCCTATTTAGTTTCTCATCCTTACTTGTCGTGCTCGGCCTCGTGCTCTGCATTCCCAGCCCCTCCCCCCCCCTCGATCGTGATCTTTTCGCAGCGTGGACCTCGGAGGGAGGCCTGGACCCGCTTGGTTCTTGATGGCCTGGGGCACAGCGAGGGACCCTGGGGATCGACAACGCTGGAGCACTTGCCGTCGCGCACCGCCCACGGCGCAGGGATGGCGGGGCCCTCGTCTGCAGGGCCTCGACGTGCATCACGTCGTGCGGCCGGCCATGGGGCCAAGGAGATTGGCCCTCCTCCTCCTCCTCCTCCTCCTCCTCCAGGTCCTCCTCCTCCTCCTCCTCCTCCTCCTCCTCCTCCTCCTCCTCCTCCAGTCCTCCCCCTCCTCCTCCTCCTCCTCCTCCTCCTCCTCCTCCTCCTCCTCCTCCTTCCCCCTCCCTCCTCCTCCTCCTCCTCCTCCTCCTCCTCCTCCTCCTCCTCCTCCTCCTCCTCCCACTCCTCCTCCTCCTCCTCTTCCTCCTCATCGTCGTGCTCCTCCTCCTCGAAGGAGACTGGCATGCAGTCGCCCGAACGTCCCGCAGGTTGGGGGGAGCGGAGGCGCCCGTGCGCCGAGCCACCGAGAGCTCTCTCTGGCCGGCCGTGCGACGTGGAGTTCACCGCGAGGGTGCAGCTCCCTGGGAGCTGGGGGATGCAGTTCGGCGGTGGCGCTGGCAGTGCCCCCGTGGTCGAAGACCAGCCTGGTCCGACATGTACACACCGTTCCTTTCCCATTCTTCGGAAGCTCTCGATTTTTTTTTGGGGGGGGGGGCCAAGGTCCTCTCATTTCTAATTGTTATGTCCTGGGCCTCTTCCTGGCCACCAGGGGGCCAGGAGCAATCACAAACGAGCACAAGTAGAAATGAGCACGATTAGAAATGAACGACGTGTCTCCGTGGTCGCAGCCCAGCCTGATCCGGCACAGAGTCCCGGTCCCCTCCGCTCAGTCCCGCTGCCTCTGGCGCAATCCTGGACGGTTGTCCTGGGCTTGATCTGAGCCGGTCCGGCTCAGTGGCCTCTCGCTCGTGCATGCATCAGTCCACAGCCCGGGGCAGCGAAGAATGACATAAGCAGCAGAACTCGGAGGTCCGTGCGGATTTCTCGGATCGGCGCCGGACCCCCCTCCTTGGCGCGCGGAGCGCGCCAGGGGGCGGCGCCGGAGGCGCCGCCAGGGGGTCCCAGCGCCGATCTGAGAAATCCGCGCGGACCTCAGAGATGTCATGTTTATGTCATTGCTTGTTCCCCTACGCCTGGCTCAATGGCTTCTCGATCGTGCGTATCAGTCCACAGCCGTTCTCGCGAAGACCTCCTAGCAGATGCCTCATCATAGTCGCCGGGCTCCTCGCCTCAATCAAGACGGGCCGCGGAGACCGCTAGCAGTCCTCGGCCGGTCAATCCAGCCAGACGACCGCCCGACTATGCTCAAGTCGGGCATGTCCCTCTACGGGAGGAGTATACGAAAATAGCCAAAGATTAGGCCAGGGCCGGGGACGATTTTATTGCTTTTTTTGAGCCTTGTCTGGCTATTTTCATTTTTCGTCCAAGATCCGCCTGTAGGAGGACATGCCCGACCTAAACCAGGCCAGACGGCCGCCCGGCTATGCCCTGGTGCGCACGTTGCGGCAGCTCGGGTGGGCCGCGGTCGGGCTGCAGATCTGGGGCGGGGAGGGGCAGGAGGAGAAGCAGGAGGCGGAGCAGGAGGGGGCGGAGCAAGATGCGGAGCAGGAGGGGGAGGAGGAGAAGAAGGAGGAGGAGGAGGTCAGAGGAGGGGGAGTCAGGTGCGGTAGGTTCGCGTCGCGTCGACCGGCGGCGACCCTGCCGCTGGCGTTCAACGTTGAACGCCGCGGGCGCTCCAGAACCAGTCGATGTTGAACGGATCTGACGTTTCGGACACGTCCGATCGTTCAAGGTTGGACGATCCGCGCGGTGTGAGGAACTACCGCCCAGGTCGACAGGAGACGAACTTGCAGTACAACGCTGGGGAGGAGGACTCAGGGGGCGATGCATCGAGCCCCAGTCGCCCCTTGATCGCCGAGAGGAGCTTGAGCTCGATAGCCCGCCCCGGCCAGGAGCGTGCGGGGTTGTCCCTTGGAAGCCGATCGCCGGTATAACGGCGATGCATCATCGATCACAGGTCGATGTTTCCCCCCATGAGTTGCCCCCCCCCTAACTCTCTCCCTCCAAATGTACTCATACGTTTGCTCGTCCTGTTGAGTTGTCGTGGCCTCGGCTGGATTCTCCTTGCAGTTCTTGTCAAAGCGCACCCCACGAGACGTACGGTGAGTAGCGGTATCGGTATCTTGCAGGCCTCCCCCCAGGAGGAGGAACGGGAGCAAGACGAGGATGAGAACGAGGATGAGGATCATAACGAGGTTGCGTATAACGGTGAGGATGAGGAGAAGAGGGCAGAGAGAAGAGCAGCAGCAGCAGCAGCTGGAAGCGCAGGAGGAAGAGGAGTCTTATCGGGAACGTGGCGACGAGCATTAGCAGGGGCAGGACTTCGCATGCCTTCCCTGGGTTTCGCGATTCTAAGGACGGACTCCCTCTAAGCTGGGTGGCGAACCCCACGCCCAAGTCGTGCACCAATGTCGTGACCATGCTGGGCACCGCCACGATCTTGACGGTGGTCTTCTTCACGTTCGGATGGAGCTTTGTGCATTACGTCTCGAAGACCAGCGCGAAGTGGGCAACCGACCTTGATGCGACGGTTTCGCCAATGGTCGCCCTGATGACCGCGCCGATCCTGTCCTACATCATTTTGCATCTTGGGTACGTCGCTTTCCCATGAAGATAACGAATTTACAATAATTCGCAGCGTCGGATTGTCTCCTTCGCTGTATATGCACGCGTCAAAGCAACGATCAGTTTGCACAAATGCAGATGGAATTGACTTGAGGGGGTGGAAGGGGGGAGCAGGACGTAGGAATGGGAAGAATCATGCGACCGGGGAAGCGGGGTGTGAGGAAGGAGGGGGAGAACGAGGATGACAAGGACGATTGGAGTTGGATGCGTGTTGTGGAGTGCCGCGAGCGAGCCGCCAAGGTGGTGGGGATTTTGTGGGCGCCCATCTGTGTGTTTCCCGCTTCCCTCCCTCCTCTCGGCCTTCCTTCTTCTCTCAGGCGCCCCCTTAGCCACCTTCTCAATAATATGATTCCTTCTTGTTCACTGTACGAGCTTTGAATTCAGCCGTGGGAGCCCGCGAACCCCGGAAGGAGGACGAGGGCGAGGGAAGCGACGGAGGATGAGGAGGAGCAGCAGCCAGCATTCTCCGGCAGAGAGACAGGACGTCGGCCCAGGCCGAGCAGGTCGCGCAAATAGGAGGAGAGGGGAAGGCGGATCGGATAATGATGGGGAGGAGGAGGAGCAGGAGGAGGAGGAATCTATGCAGTGAAGCGACCAGAGGGCAGATGCCAGGAAGGTAGGGGAAGAGGATGACGGGGCAGGAGGTGGTGCAAGGAGAAGGAGAGCTCCGATGTTTTCCACAGAAGTACCGATCCTTCCATTGGCGCCGGCTTCTCATCCTGAGAGGTGTATCAACGGTCCCAGGCCCGGTAGGGGCCCGCGGGGTCGTAAGATTGCGACGGACATCGCTTTTGATGGCCATGTGTTCAACGCGTTGAAGGTTTGGGAAATGGGGAGGCGGACAAGGGGGAGGAGGAGGCGGACAAGGAGCAGGAGGCAGACAAGGAGGAAGAGGAGGAGAAGGAGGAGGAGGCGGACAAGGAGGAGGAGGAGGAAACAAACAAAAAGATAAAACAACAAGGGCGAACAAGAAGAAGGAGGAGAAAGAGGACAACGGCGACGGCGACGAGTATGAGGAGGAGGAGGAGGAGGAGGAGTTGGAAGCGGGCGAGGACGTGAGAAGACCGTTTGCCTCGAACTCCTCATGCGGGCCCCGCCCTCCTTCCCCTCCTGGCGAGGAGGGCGGTGGAGGAGAGGGGCCCGATCTCCAACGTGTCCAGAGACTGGGACGGGCACGCGTCTACTAGTCGACCCCCTTCTTT